CCCCCCCACCCCACCCCCTTTTGAGAAACCAGCTTATCTATTTTTAGACGCTTCAAATTCCTAAAATGTGACCTATTGGGTGGTCTACGATTTGGCCCTACACCAACTCAGGGCTCTCATGGCCTGTTTTTATCTGTACCATATGATTTTATTTCATAAGAACGTCATGTATTTGGCCTGTAATAAACAAAACAAAATCTAAGTAATTCTGAAAAATTGTTTCAAATGTACTTATCTGCAGTCTTGGTTCGTACCTATTAGTCATAGTCACCTCTTTCTAAATTTTGGCTCTTGTAAAAAGTTATAGTAGACGCTAGTTTTCATAATACAATGAGATGAGCCAAGTCTCTGCTCGGAATGGCTGAAACTGTTTTTCCCAGGAAAGATTTAGTGGGGAAGAGGTCAATTACTCTGTTAGTAAATCACTTAAGTCATCTGGCAGAACTAAATGAAGGGGCTACCTGGAGGTCTTTATGGGGTGCGCTTTCCTCTTTAAATGCAAATCATATATACATATATATATATATATATTAACTCTGTTTTGACTTCCTCTTAAATTTTGTTGATACCATCTAAAGGGTTTTGTTTTTTTTTAAATCAGAGAATTAATTTTAGCTTATTCCTCAAGAGAGAGGAGTCCAAAAGAGGAAGTTGTACCTTATGTATATTACAAAAAACCCGAATACTATGTTTTTCTGTTTTGTTTTATTCTAAATCATTGTATGATAGCTTACTGAAATTATTCTGAATTTAGCTGAAGTTATCAATATTTATATGTTAAACTTCATTTTTGGATTAAAGCCTGTATATAAGTCTTTGAGGGGAAAGTGAGAACATACTCTAAGGTAAATAATACAGTCTCTAATCAAAAATAGCTTTCTCAGATTTAAATTTAATGCTATTTCAGTATTTCTATTTTTTATCCACAATTCTCATTATTTGTGGCTGGAAAAAAGTTTTCACATTTTGCATTTGTCATTGTTTTTGTCAGTATGACTATTGGTGTTTAGTAATTTGGGCTTGTAAAATTAAAAATTCTAACTTTTACCATTTGTACTAAAATTTGTATGAGGAATTACAAATGAAATATATTTATATTTATTAATTTACAAACGAAGAGGGAAATGATAGTAATATACTCTAATTACCTTTCTCTGGAGAAACTTTCTGAATGATTGAAAATTTTCAACCTTGTTCCTGCAAACCCCACAGTTTGTTAACTCCCTAAAGATACAGCAGCCCCGATTGCATTTTCAAAATTCTTTCCCATGTTGTTATAACTTTTTGGATTTCTTTTTTATAAGTTCCTTAAAAATGTATCTGATCTCTGAGATCCTGGTTTCCTTACTAGAAGTGTAGGTTGAGGTTGTGATTCAGAGGAAAATTCTGAGTAGAACTTCCTCTCTGCTACACTCATGGCCAAGGGTTGCCGTTAATGGAAGTTCAAGTGTTTAAACTCAAAATACCTGTAACTGCTTTTTGCAACAGCAAAGCGGCTCTGTTTGTAGCAGCATTGTGTAGGGCTGATGCCGACATAGCTCCACTGTTGGCATCTCTGCTCCCCAGCTCTGAGCAGAAGAGAAGATGGAAAATAAGATTCACCCACCATTTCATCCGTGACCCCCCAAAGATTATGTTTGTGTGCTTCAGCTATTTTTTGTTGTTATTTAAAATGATTAAATAATGCACATTTCAGCGTCAGGTTAGCACCTCTTGGAAAGTGACCAGTGCAGCAGAATTCTCTCCATATAAATGTCTGAGCTTAAAGAAATACTTCTCATTTTCTCAATTCTGTTTAGCAGCAACATTAGTGTGTTTCTGCCAGATGTATCTGTGAGGGGAGATGAGGCTTAGGGGAAGAAGTGAAAAGTGTGAGTCTGTTTCTTAAACTGAGCTTTTGTAGTCTGGGGAACTTTGGCATTTTCTCTTTGTTTTGCTTTTTAACTGCAGATTCTGTACATCTGCTTGTGGGAGGAGACTTGTTGCTCAGGACAGGACTTAAGGGATGCATTCCAAGTGACCTTTAGGAGTCTGCATGGTGGGAAGTCCGCTGGGGCTGTGGGCTGGTCCGTGCTGAGGCCCACCAAGCTAAGGAGAGATCATAAAGTATCATAAAAAAGTGCAGGTTTTTTGATGCAGGACCCCAGCCTGCTTGTTTGTTACCAAAATAATAATAATAAGTAGTTAAGAATATAATTCCGATTGAAGCCCCACGAGAAGGTCAGTATGTTCTAGCCAGCTGCCCGTGGGGCTCGTCAGCAGTGTGGGGTGATGGGCAGAGCGCCTGCAGATTCCTGACTTTGATTGTTGCGAGCCCCTGCCACAGTGTGTTTTCCACCGAGGACAGGGAGCTCCTTGTTCTGTGGCCTCTGCTCAGTGACTGAAACTTGAACCAAAGGCAAGCCCCGGTTGTCAGGCCTGTCCTGAGCCTTACTTGGTCGCGAGGTGGAAGCGCTCTCCATTAGAGGGTCTTGTTTCCCGTGTGGAGGCCGGGCTGCTGGGGCTTGCAGCTGAGCCAGGGGCAGCACCTCTTCCACCTACCTCCCTCAGCTTCACTCCATGGCGGGACCAAGATGTGTGGTGTCCAGTGTCACAATCACGAGGGAGGCAAAAGCAAGTCCAATTTGAGGAAACATGTGGTGGGAATTAGAAATGAAAACCGCATGTCTTGGCCAGGGAGAAAAGCAGTAGCCAACAGATTAAAACATCACTGAGAACTCTTCACCTGGGTCAATTGAAATTCAAGCTCTCATACTCAGACCCATCAGGAAAGCTAAGCAGAAGCATCTCAAAAAACTAAACACCACTTCTAAATTTGGTGAAGACAAGGCTGTGCAAACCCACAGGAGCTTTTATCTGCTCGCCTTTTCTTTGGGCACAACTAATATGTCACACAGGTAGAGGATGCCAGAAAAAGACCCACTGTTAGTGGCCTGTCATCTGCTGGGGTCAGAGCCCCCGGGCTTTGATCGCAAGGGTGTAAGGGCAACAGCAAAGCACTGATGTGTTCAAGGAACGCCTGTAATTCTCTGCACAATGTAAAGACTAGTTTTTGAGGGGATGGCTAACCTGTTTTATTTGGTGACACACATGTTCCAAATAAAAGATTTTGCATGAAAGTACCTATGGTCTTGTCTTTGGCTGTGGGTACAAGAGATGCCCTGTTAGCATCTCCTCCTTCGAGGGCAGCAGGTAGCACTGGGCGGAGCTTGGATGATGTCAGTTGGCAAGGAAGGTGGCCCGAGGAGTCTCAGCCCTCTTGGTCTCCACTGCCAGCAACCTGGGTGTTAGTCATCCTGTTCTGTTGCCCACACTCTCCTGCAGGGCTTGCTGACTTGGTGGAAAGAGAATCCAATCAGCTTGGAGGCAGGGTTTGAATTTTGGTTTCATCAAGTATGGCCTCAAAGACCTTCCCTGGCTTCTGTTTCCCCCATTGGCCTCTCATAACTCAAATATACAGTTGACCCTGGAACAATATGGGTTTGAACCACCCATTTAGTGGGTGACAGCAATGCAAATGAATTTTATGATTTTCTTGACATTTATTACAATATGGTATCTACAACACAACATTAAAAATGTGGTAATAAGACTTTTATTCGACTGCTGTTAATTTCTTGAGTCAAAAGGAATAAGCAGATAGGCATCTGCACCCATGATCCTCATGTTGTTCAGGCATCACCTTAAAAATCAAATTTCTGGAACACATTCCCCTTCTTCCCTTCACCCCCACTCCCCCATGCTGTGGGTGTTCAACATGGGAAATCATTTTCAACCCCCACCTCATGTCTATCTCCAACTTAGTTTTTTTAAAATCCAGGCCTTGGTTTCCTTTTGGGGATGATTCTCCTGTTTGAGTGTCACCATTCTGGAAGCAGGTGCAGGTTGGTACCTCATCATGCTTTCTCCTGGTTGCTTGCAGTAGCCCAGTGAATTTACAAGCTGCTGTTTCTGAGTTTTTTTTTTTTTTAAACAGTGGTCCTTCACTCCACTTAAGCTGACTTTCGCAGGTTCTTGACATCATTCCTTGGCTCCTTGTGTGTGGGTCTCAAAACTTGAGGGCTCTAGGGTCCCCGAGTATGAAATTTCAGATCATGTTGAGATGTAGTTTTTCAAGTAAGAGCTAGTCCCATTGCTTGATAATTGAGTCCACACATAAATATGACTGAAAAAGAAGTCCCTAGAATAAATTAATGCTCCAAGATGAAACACACAGCCAGAAAGTCTGGGGCGCAGAGTTGGGCCTGCCTCTGCATTAACAAGCTGTGACCGAGGCTACCTGCCCACCCTCTGGAACCCTTCATAAGAGAAGAGGGATTGAATTAAATTAACTGGTTTCTTCCAACTCTCTATAACTATTTTTTGGCAAAATTGGGAGTCCGTATGTTCCTTTGCCCTGTCAGAAGGGTCCAAGAATAAAATAATTTGAAAACTACAATTGTACTTGATCGAGAGTTGGGTCACTGCCAGGTTAGGGAGCCTGGCCATTATTTCTTTCACCAGGGTGGTCTATTCCCCCTTCCAACAACTTCTCATGCTTCTCTCCCTCTCCCATAGCTGTGGACCAGCCAAGAGACTGACAAGATTGAATTCTCCCAACATATTTTTCTTAACGTTAGAACAGGGCACTAGGGTGTTTATGAGCCTGGCAGTCAGCCTCTGGCATTAATCTACAGTGTCTGCATAGACTACTTATCTCACAATTTGGCTGTTTCTGGTTCATTTAAATGTACTTAGGTTCAGAGATATTTGTGTCCCACAAACTAAGTCAATCTTTCTGTTTCTACCCTACACCTATCTTTCTTCCAGTGGTCAGCTAGAATTTCACAGGCTGGGAATGCGCTCCATCACCCTACTGCTCAGCATGTTGGGGACAACTCCATGGAAAACTGTG